GTCATGGCAGAATATCACTTTGGGTCGACATCACCAGAAAGCATGGCGATCGGGAACGGAAGTAGACTGATTCATCAGGACTCAGATCGTGCACGAGACGTTTGGGTGGAAGAAAACCGGTTGATCTCTTTGAGTTAAGCACGATGAGCCCAACTTTTATGACGATAAATGCCGATTACAACTCACATTTTTCTCAGTGATTTCTGTGTCAATAGACAACCGTGATTTCAGCATTAAACTCGCCGCGTTGCTGAAGTGATGCCAGCTGCTTTTGCAGACATAGCCCGGCTTTTTAGGCTGCTGCCCATGAGCTTTTGAGGCATTTGTCATCTTATAGAGCATACTATTTATTTCCGGCTTTCAGGAATCAACTTTAGCTACCAAAATGGTTGCTCACAATAATTCGGTGACCTATTGAGGATTAATGATAACTGCGAATACTACTTATTTTCAAAATAAGTAACATCGTCGAGTCAAAGGGAAGGCCGCGTGAAATTTGACTAAATCGTCTGATTGTGGAAAATGCATCATCAAGCCCTAAATCGCCTCAACCGACCTGCTCAAACTAAGTTGTAACTGACAATCTATCCGAATCTGATGCAGTCGACGACGCTATTTATTTTCTGTGTAAGCAGGCGACGAGACCATCGATACTTCTCGAACAAAAGCCTTCCACATTTTACTGTGTGGGAACCTAAACTAGTCGTCCTTAAATCATCCAAACCAACCTGAATTGACTGAGTTCTTTTTCAAGTTTTATTGATAGTCTCGAACACTACTCATATAGCATACAAGCAACGCCGTCAAATGCAATAATAAAATGTAAAAAAGTTGGTGAACACTGCCTGTTTGTTGTGGAGCAATAAAATGTTAGATACACACTCACCTTGAAAGTCGTGTAGCTCTGGTGGACAACAGTCAGTTGGCCTGCCTCTGAAGCCGCCGAGCCACAGTTCGAGTCTGGCGGAGAGGTTGGATGGAACGAAGAGGCCAAGTGGGATCTGCAATTCGGCCTCGATGCAAACTGCCCTCTGGGAGGCATGATTCTGTGCAGTTCACTGCAAGAGCAGGCTCCCTATCCTCTTTATTCGATGCCACTTTGGGCAGCCTTGTTGGGTAGGACAGAGAACTGCGTCACGAAAAGACGATTGGCTCGAACCCCGGTTCAACATGAACCGGCCGAACCTCATGATATGTCTGTCTGCCGACTTTGCCAGATTGAACGTGGAAAGCGCAGTTTAAGAATGTACCGAAACTTGCAAAAAGTGTACATCGGTTCAAGTCTAGGGGGAAATGGGGAGGTGAGGCGGAGGCATTTCGAGATTCGCTTGAAGTTTGGAAAATCATACTTTTTCGCGGAAAAATGCCCAAATGTGCTGGGAACTTGACTGTGGGGGCGGTATGTATCCGATTTCGAAGGGATTTATAGTTGAATTTTGCCGCAATCACGTAGGCCCTACGTTTCGAGACAATTTCACTTAACCTTAGCCACCAAAAAGCCATCTCATCCCTGATTGACTGCTGGTACGACCTCATCCGCACCTCCAAATGGACTCAGCGTGAGACAACTCAACTATCAGTACTTAAATTGTCTTGAGTAATATAAGCTTGAGATGAATTCACCCAATTTCGTTTAAGTTGACGAAGGTCTGGTAGAAAAAATTTCCCACGATTATATGAGTTGAGCTGACGTTTCCATTCAATTTCACATAGCCTTGCTTTCTCAAAAGTCTACTTAAATACCAAAAATAATATAAACTTGCCTTAAACCTACTTATTTCTGAACTAAGTAGTACAGTCGATTTCACTAGCAGATACTGCAGAGTGGAGCGATAATCCGACTGTAAAATTATGATTTGCGTGAGGCTTGGCCTGCTCTGAATGTCACATTTGCTCTGTGCATTGAGGCCGCAATATGCCGTCACGATACTGACGATCTGGTAGCGAACCTTGTTAAGGTTGCTGACGAGACAAGACGAGATGGCTTTACGCGAGGGTGAGGCCTAAACAACTTATTGTTTGATGACTAAAATTCTAAGTTTCTATTCACAAATTGCTAATATTGAAATAAATTGCATTAAGCCTTGTCCGCCAGTGTACACACAATTCCACTATTCATCCTTGCAGCACCCTGAAGCGACCTGAACCAGCAAAACTCTTGGTAGGCATGACGACAAAGATGGTGAGACGCCTATTCTGGTTGCAGTCTCCTTTCGGTGCATGAACATGTTTTGATTGCGTTTTCCCAACTTGACCAATTTGTCAAGTAGACCTCGATGAACACTACTTGTCCGAGATGATGGCAATATTCAGCGTCGGACTAGGGACTTAATGCATTCGCAAGAAGTAGCATTGGTATCGTATTCGACATTTCGACGGATCTTGCCATTCTCGGAGATGTGTCTCTTCAATTAGTCTAACTTTGATGCCTAAATTGGCCAGGCTCACTGACGATGCCAACTCTAAGTTTGACGACATGTCTGAGAATGTACCTGGTCCACGATCGCACAATGGAGAATGATTCTGGAACTTAGAAAAGGTGTGTCTACATGACAAGTTTCGAAAACGCAGCCAAATTGCTTCTTTTCAAAGAAAAAAACTGTCAGGTGAGATAGATTCAGTTGATGCAAATTTCGATAGTGATGATGTCCTACTCATCCGATTGCATTTACGACTCTAATTATCTTCGATATAAGAAGATGTCAAGACTATCAGTAATTCTTGAATAGGAAATTAATCAGCCTGGGTCACTAAATCTGATTTAAGGTGTGATATTCAAGTTTTCCTACTTGCATTATTGCAATGGATGGTTTTACTTATTTTTGATAGGATTAGTTTTATAGTCAACCTGTAATGCTGGAATTAGAGCTTATTTATTTATTTATTTTCGAAATAAGTAGTTTTTGAGATTCAGTAGTACATTAATAAGACCATAGTCAGCCTGGTTTTCTTGACTCGTTAGCTTGAGTTTTGTTGTGACGATGATACCTTGCTCTGATGATGTTCGTCACTTGACAAACGAAAGCTTAGCACCTTTTCACCGGAATCGAAGAAGGTTACCTCGGAAACAGCATCAACATGAATTGAGAGCTGGTCGAGAGGAATCCGCCGTCGTCTTCTGGTGGATTCAACCTTCGAATCTCTTCACCGCACACTTTCACTCGAATTGGAAGTAAGCTCAACAATTATGAAACAAGAGATTCCTCTAAACTCAACTTTTATTCGCATGCTACTTATATTATCTATGAGCAGTTTAATAAACTATCAATGATTCTTGAATAATAAATTAATCGGCCTAGGCCACAAAATGTGATTTAAGGTGTGATATTCAAGATTTCCTACTTGCATTATTGCAGTGGACGATTTTACTTATTTTTGATAGGAGTAGTTGTATAGTCAACCTGCAATGTTGGAATTAGAGCTTTAATTAGACCATAGTCAGCCTGGTTTTCTTGACTCGTTAGCTTGAATTTGGTTGTGACGATGACACCTTGCTCTGATGATGTTCGTCAGAGGACGCACTAAAGCTTAGCACCCTTTCACCGGAATCGAAGGAGATTGCCTCGGAAACAGCATCAGCATGAATCGACAGCTGGTCGAGAGGAATCTGCCGTCGTCTTCTGGTGGAATCAACCTTCGAATCTCTTCAACGCACACCTACACTCGAAATGGAAGTAAGCTCAACAATTATGAAACAAGCGATTCTTTGAAACTCAACTTTCCTTCGCATGTTACTCATATTCTCTATGAGTAGTTTAATTACCTATCAGTAATTCTTGAATGAGAAATTAGTGAGCCTACGTCAATTAATGGCATTTGAGGTCTGACAGTTGAGATTTTCAACTCACCTAGTTGCATTCAAGAATTAAATTTTTTTTTGATATGAGTAATTTTAAAGTCAATCCGTAATACCTGAACAATAAAACAAAGTCAACCTGTTTTTCGTCTATAAGTAGGCTTTCAAGACTACCGGTAGATCATATATATGAGATGTATCCATCCTATTTCGTTTAGGATGATATAGGGACAGTTAGTTCAATTTTTCAGCAATGATATGAGTTGATATCATTTCCCAAAAGATATGCTCATCAAGATTGGACTGCAGTTTCGACCACGCATAGGTCTTATCAACCTTCGCATCGGGACTCGAACCATTCTAATACCGGTCCTCCTATCACTCTAAGCGAAGAAAGATGAATACATACCAAATATGCGATTTATTGATATTTTCGAAAACCAACTTATAAGCAAAACGTAAGTAAGGTTGTTGATCGCTATAGCAAACACAACATTGCTTCATCGACAATCCCATCACAAGATGTGATATTCGAAAATGCCTGGCCTTCAATGAAATTCCCATCCGCCCTGTGACCCAGGACTATTAGTGGCAATGTGACGTGGCACTCTCATGCTTTGAGTCCCGATGAGGGTGTTGATAAAACCTATGCGAGGTCGAAATTGCGGTCCATCCCAGATGAGAATGTCTTTTTGCAAAGCAAGGCTGTGCGAAGTTCAATGGAAACGTAAGGTCTACTGATACCATTTTGGAAAAGTTCAACTACCAGTCCTTCATCAGCTTAGACAAATTAGGTTGAACACAGCCCATATATCAATTTTATTGACCCTTTTAGCCGACTCAACCTCACCGAGCATTGCTTTCTATTCATGTCGTGCTTGGAGATTGGCCCAAGTCAGCAGATAAATGGAGTTGGAGACACATTCCAGACTGAAAGAAATTACCCACCACAGCAAAGACCATCAGAGGTCGTCACAGAATGTCGAGTCCCCTAAAATGAGCCTGACTACACAAGTCCGTTTGACTCTGCTTCAGAAAAGTCTTCTTAGCTTTTAATTAAGACATCTACTTACTACGAATATAAGTAATGTAGTCTATTTTAGCATCAAATATTGGTTTGCTTCCTTGGCAATTCCACCACACAAAAATGTACTATTAATAAGACCTGATCTGTCATTTAACACATGAAACAGTCTGGCGTGGTGGTTACATGTCAACATTGTACGCTGCATTACCATAACCCAAGTTAGAGACCCGCCGGGGGGGTTAATGAGAAAATTTCGGGCATAGTAGAAACTGGGGTCCAGCCCAGATAAACCGAGGTGAGAATGCTTTTTCGCAAGCAAGACTAAGTGAGCTTCAATTAAGTCTTGAGGCCGTCTCAACTGATTGTAGGAATACTCAAGTATGACTCTCAAAATCACCTTAAACGACCTAGGCCAAATAGGTTTATATTCCTAAACCTAAAT